TTCTGACTTCATTTGCATCAGTGTAAAGCAGGGATAACCTTGGTGCAGGTGGCTGTTGGGTCTGAAGTTGGCATCAGTGAGACCTGATTCAGGATGTGTGTTCTTACACACAGCATCTTAAAAAGCAATTTAGTGACACAGCCTGTCACCTTTAGCACCATGTATGTATTGGCCATTTTACAGGAATTTCTTAAGGCTGTCGAATCATAAATACTAGTCATAAATGCTCTGGAGAGAAAGACAAGGGGAACTGCTATTTGATGGGCCTAAAGCAGATAGGATTTTTCTTATGAGGCTGCTTAATCCACCTGTAAATGATCATACCCTCATACCTGTCACTTCATTCTCCTTCATCCCTAGAAAATATATGTGTATTTGTTAGACAATGTGTATTTCAGGAAGACAAGCATACAGAATCACAGTGGAAACCAAAAATTCTCAAGATCTGAAAAGAGACTGAAATGTCTACTGAAAAACATGTATAAATTAAAGTAAACAGGGATGATCAATAACATTGTCTGGGTGTGCTAAGCTACCAAAAACCCCTTCTTGAATCAGGGACTTCTCTATGTTGCTGCAGTTGGAGTTAGGTCAATAGTTCATTTTCAAAGTCATAGTTATAAATCACGGCGGGGGTGGAGGGGAAGATTCCTGATAGAAATAACATTGTACTGTAGCAAATTCTACATTTGCTTAAGTAAATGTTAGACAATCACAAGGAACTCACAAGGCCCCTCTCAAGGCAGGGCCATTCTCCCAGTAGAAGGTTTTACCTTTTCTTGTGCAACCCAATCCAGCACTTTCAAATGCTTGGCTAATGAATGCTAAGAAAACAAAAAAAGAGTATTTTGGATTTTTGTAAATGTGAGCTCTCACAATGAGATGCAAATTCCTCCAGTGACTTTTGAGTAGAACTAGTTAATCACTCTGTCAACTAGAACACCCATAAGCATTTCACTGATCGTTTTAGAGCTTAATTCTGCCTTTGAATTGACCCTTACAGTATCACAAACTTAAGTGAAGTTGTTCAATTCTACTCTATTGAAAATTATTACTGTTCACTACTCACAAAAATAGCCAAACACCATGTATTGGTTGTGTCTGTCTATATACGTATCAATCTCTATATATGCAGCAATTCAGTCTAAATAAGCTGGTATATACAGGTGCTTCCTGCATTTCAGATGGGCATACTGGGACATCTCCCATTCCCAATGTAATTTATATTTTAAAAATTTTATCAGTGGATGTACAAATAAAAAGAGTAAGACAGTTCAATGCTCCAGAAGTTTGCAACAACCTGTAGCAAACAAAGCAAAGAATGATGGAAGGCAACAGAAACAGCACTTGCAATGGGTTAATGTTTCCCCATGAGATGACTATTAGCTGCCAGCATGGCCTCTAATGGACATGGAAAGAGTGCACCTTTATACGCCTCCACTCTTCCCAGCAACTTCAGGTCAATAGCAACTAACTTTCTGATTCAACTAGTTTATCACTGATCAAAAGACCACAGATCTGTAAAAGTACTGTACACTTTCAGTAGCATGCAGTACTAATATGTCACTAGCATTCACTCACTAAATGCAACTGGACCATAACACAGGAAAATCCAAGTATTTTACAAATTTATTAGCATGAGAAAATGTCCAAACCAGCTTCAGCAGCAGTATATTCCTACAATTGATATAAGAATGCTCCTCTAAAAGGCATTAAGGCACATCTAAAGATGCAAGCAGACAAAGATGCATAATTTCCACTATGCTGAAGAATGGTTTTAAATGTTTGGTTTCCTATAAAAAACAACGTATCTATTTATTTGTCTGTACTGAATGTTGGAGAGATTCATACCTGCTTTGAAGATGAACATCCAGAACAAGAATAAAACTAGGCAAACTGATCTATTACAAACAGCTTTTCATAGTCATTAAAATCAAATCCAGGCACCAAAGCAGTGTGGAGCAGCTGGTACTGCTGCTGCACTTACTGCAGCCACATACATACAAAGTACTTCCTACTATCTAAATTCACACAGTTTACTTATTTTACAAGGATTTAAAGGATAACCATGGCATGCAAAATCAGTGAATGAATGAATGAATGAATGAATGAATGAATGAATGAATGAATGAATGAGATACAGAAGTTGCATTCTGTTTTGTTGTTGGGGTGTTTTCCTCTGCTTTAAGAGGAAGGCTCAAATTCTCTCTTCTGCTCAGTAGAAGAGTATGCTTACCAGTCACAGTTCCTTCTGTGACTGCATGCTACCTTTGTGACTTGCTTTGAGCAAGGTTCAGGGTGCTGGGCAGTCATGCCTGCCCCTAATTCACAGAAATACTGAAGATGAATATTCACCCTGAACCAATTTGGACTCCTGTTTTAGCCACTGGTCCCTCTCTGGATTGTTCTTTGAGTGTAGCTGCCTTCATGGATAACAGAGGAAGCTGAGGGAGTCCAGCTAGTTTGTTTAGGTGCCTGCAACCTCCAACATCACAGTTACTCCTGACCTCCTCTCTAAATTCTCCTTTCTGTTGGTCCTTTGCTCCTCTCTTTAGCCATTGACCTTGTCCTAGGAAAGCAACAGACAGGTCTCCAGGCACTTCTCTAGGCCTTGTGCAGAGCTGCAGCTCTGGAAGCTAGCTTGTTTGGGTGAAGAATTATAGCAAGGGAGCTATAAATTAAGAGGGCAGTCCCTCTCAGAGACGATGCCAAGGAAGAAGGAATCAAAATACATGTGATTTTTGCAGCCCTGCTGTGGTGCTGGCAATGATACCTAAAGCTCAGTGCAACCTCCTATATCCCCTTTTACCTATTTTAGACAATAGGAATGATGTGAAAAAAAACAAAAAATCTAATTATTGTAGCCATGATACTGAAGTGATAGGGTAACCACCAGTATGCAATAAGACACTAGAAAACAGATAACTCCACAGAACATCTTTTGTCCATGAAAGTGCTGGTGAAACTCTACAGAAGGCACCTATGGTACCATAAGAATAAGAGGGCTGGAGCTGCCTTCCTATGAAGACAAGCTAAGAGAGCTGGGTGTGTTCAGCCTGAAGAAGAGAAGGCTCCAGGGAAGTCTTAGAGCCTTCCAAGTACCTAAAGGGGGCCTACAATAAATTTGAAGAGGGACGTGTTACAAGGGCATGTAGTGACAAGACATGGGGGAATGGATTTCAACTGAAAGAAGATGTTCTTTACTACGAGGGTGGTGAGACACTGGCATAGGTTGCCCAGACACTGGCACAGGATGCCCACAGAAGCTGTGGCTGCCCCATCCCTGGCATTGTTCAAGGCCAGGTTGGACGGGGCCTGGAGCAACCTGGTCTAGTGGAAGGTGTCCCTGCCCATGGCAGGGGATTGGAACTGGATGAGCTTTAAGGTCCCTTCCAACCCAAACTGTTCTATGATTCTATGAATGAGAAGACTGGGAAACGTATCATTCAAATGTCTCTCAGGCACAGAGAACCTAGAGTAGATGTAACCCCTGGGGTATCTGTCAGGTCATGGCCCACGTATGGCTGCTTACTCATGCCTCCTCAAGCAGCTGCAAAGCACCCTGTCTCAGCTGTACAGTGGGAGGAGTACTATCCAGGAGTGGCAACTCCTTCATGTGCCAGGGTGTAGGTACTGCCACCTAACAGATTGATACCAGAGCTGTTGCCTTGCTGATGTAAGTTCACAGGGTTTGTCAACATGGTATTTTCTTCACTGAAGTGTCTCATGCTGCCTGCGTTCCCTGATTTAAAAGGTCTAAGGTTTAGATATAACAAGGAGGCACAGGCCCATCTCCCCCTAACAGCCCAAGCCATCAGCGGAGCCTTGCAGGCACAGTGAAGCCATTACACAGCTTCTGCCACCCTGTGCGTTGAGCCTCATCGGGGTGGCTGTGCCTGCACCCTGCACTTGTTAGGCGTGGACACAGCAGCACAACCCTGCCACTCAGCCCCTGCTGCCCGGCTGGCCCGAGGCAGGGGCTAACAAAGCAAAGTGCCAGGTCCTGCACTTGGGCCACAACAGCCCCATGCAACACTCCAGGCTTGGGGAAGAGTGTCTGGGAAGTTGCTCAGAGGAAAAGAACCTGGGGGTGATGACTGACAGCCACTCAACAAGAGCCAGCTTCTGCCCAGGAGGCCAAGAAGGCCACCAGCATCCTGGCCTATATCGGCACTGGTGTGGCCAGCAAGGCCAGGGCAGTGAGCATCCCCCTGTACTCAGCACTGGTGAGGCCACGCCTTGAATGATGTGTTCAGTTCTGGGTCCCTCACTACAGAAGAGACATTGAGGCACTGGAGTGGGTCCAGAGAAGGGCAATGAATCTGTTGAAGGGCCTGGAGCACAAGTGTGATGAGGAATGGCTGAGGGAATTGTGGTTGTTTAGTCTGGAGAAGAGAAGGTGCAGATGGGACCTTATTGCTCTCTACGACTGCCTGAAAGGAGGATGGAGGGAGGTGGGTGTTGGTCTCTTCTCCCAAGTACCAAGCAATATAAGAGGATGTAGCCTCTATCTGGGCCAGGGGAGGTTTAGACTGGGTATTAGGAAAAACTACCTTCACTGAAACAGTACTCGGGCATTTTTCTTGGAGCAGGCTTCCAAAGTGGTGGAATCACCATCCCTGGAAGCATTCAAAAAACCATGTACACGAGGCCCTTGACGACATGGTTTAGTGGTGGACTTGGCAATGCTGGGGGGACGGCTGGACTTTATGATCTTCAAGGCCTTTCCCAACTTGGTTGATTCTGTTCCCGTAACGCCCGCCGCGCGACCCACCCCAGCTGGCACACGTACGGCGCTCCGCAGGGCCCGCACTGACCTCTCGCGAGAGCGGGGGGTTGATGCGGGCGGTTGTGCTGCGGCCCTGCGCGCTCTGTCATGGAGGCGGCAGGCGTCTGCTGCGGGGGACGGGGGGACGTGGCCGTCCCTTGGAGGGTGGGCTCACGGCGGAACCGCTACCTCCCCGGTATGACCCGTTCCGCCGCCAGAGCCCCTCGGCAGCGGGACGGACTCGGGAGAGCCTCTCCGTCAGGGAGGCAGCTTAGTAAGTCCCATTGGTCCCCCTTTGAGGTGGTCCCAGGTCGTGGGTAAGTTAGCTGTCATTAGAACCAGCTGCATCTTATGAGAAAATCAGTAAGCAGCTCAGGTAACAGACCGTTTCTATAAGCACCCGGAATGCATTGCAGAGCACGTTTGGCAGTAAACTAAATTTGGGGACCTTGCTGTATATAGCAGACATAAAAATCAAGCTCCCGATCAGGTGGTGGACTAGCAGGCTTTTAGGAATCCTCTATTACGTTTGCAAATACGGTGAATGTACATTGGAGCAGTAAATAATATTCTTACTAGCTGCAAAATGTGTATTGTGTTACCAGCATTCGTATTTAAGGAAGGAAATTTGCCTCTTGATTGAATATGGTATTTATGAAGGGGGACTAGATTGAAAACCCAGGACATAAAAGTTCTGTTACGTGCAGCGAAGGGGGGCAGGCACTATTATTTCAGTGCTGCCTTGCCAATGTGCTTCAAATTTAACACAGGGTCGCTGATTGCTTTTCATGGCTCCCATGCACTTTGGCTGCAGAGCTGTGCTTTTTTAAGTTTTGCCAAGTGTTATGCCTCAGTTCCCCAGCATCAAGTTCACATATTCATTATTGCTTTCGGATAATAGTGACATGTATCTCACCTGCCACCAGAAGGGCTATGGTAGCTGTTGGTTTTCTTTGCCTCTCCTACTCTCAGGCTTACTTGATGAGTGGGATCAGAGGGTTAATTAATGCAACTGAGAAACAGTTGCTGCTTTAGCTTTTCACACAACAGTAGGGATACTGGTACTGCATGAGAGATGCACTGGGGAAACGAAAGAGGACATGGGGAAGGGTCCAGAAGTCCTTGAGCAGTGGACAGGAATAATGACCATGCAGATTTGGCTGAATTCTCACTCTGACCATAAGCCAAAATAAAACAGAGGGAGCCGTTGTCTTTGACAGTAGACAATTGCACGCTGTCCTACTGTGGACTTCTGATTTTATTTTAGTATTTTTAAATTTTTTTTTTGCCCCCTAACTCACTTGTGACAGAAGACAGTCAGCAATGTGCTGTTCTTACTGGTTGAGACCCTTTCAGTTATCCCCCTACATTTTCCCTGTAAGACCACAGGGTGCAAGGAAGGGGAAGGAGGAAGATACGAGTTTTCACATAACTGTCAAGCTCTAAACAAATCTGGAGGTAGGTCTAGTCACACTTTATGGATCTTAGGTGAGTAGTTATCTTAGTTCTATCTTGCAGCATGCCCTTGATCACCAGTTACTGATTTGCGTTTTAGCAGCCAGTTATCTGTTAGAGTTAGGTATCCACTGGAGTTTAAAAATAGGTCTGGGTTTTTCTTTACTTTCCACAAATGATGCCATCTAAACCAGATCTTTCAGGTGAAGCTCTTTTGCTTGCTACATTCTTTTGTTTATTGTGACAAGAATTGGATCTAGAAACTAGGTCTAAAGCTGATGAGATTTATTTTTTTTCTGGTAACATAGGTCTTACGGTGCTGGTGTGTGATTCAGACCCAAAGTAAATACAGAAAATGTGCCATGGAACCAAACTCTTACCATTTGGCCTACTATAAGCAGATAGAAGGAAGGACAGGGAATGCTTTGAAAGGGGATCTTTTCATACCTATGACAAAGAAAAGTTATTAACTTTAGGCCAGTGCTGAGGTCACTGCACAATACCTCAGTCCTAATCATCTGATTACTAGATTTTTTCCAAAGCTTTTTCTTTGCCTATCATGTTTTCATTCAAGTGGCTTCTCACAACTTTCAAAAATTCCTCGCTGACGAGCAAAATAATCCTCAACCTCCTCCAAATGGCTCTGTTTCCTTACAGAATTTGATAGCATCAGATTGTTACCTCTCCTGTTGTGCTAGCCAGTACTATCTTGTTGTTGCATACATGCTGTGTAATAAGTTTTGTAGGAATAAGCTTTGTTTGTTATTTGTATAATACTGCATAGTACAGATTTTGACTCGGGCATTGAGACTGTAAGCATTACCATAACACACTAGTAATAAAGCAGTAATAATAAAAGGTGCCAACATTTTCTATAAGAACCCAGGTAAGCTATTCCCTGCTGCAGTTGGATGCTTGATGTGCTTTGTGGTTTAATGAATTAACTGTTCATTCAACGCTATTTTTAAATTCTGTGTGATTTTAAGATACGGAGCATAATGATAGGATGAAGCATTATATTTCCATTTTAGTGGGATATAATTTTATTGTGTCATGCTTAGTTACGTTATTTTTCATGTAGGTAATCTCTGCAGCCTGTTTCCACTTGGAAGAGCAATAGATTTTCTTATAGATTCTGTTTGTGCTTATCTTTTTCCAATGGCAGAACAGATTCTGTCACCATCTGACTCGGAGGCAATGGTACTGCAACCTGGGGAGCCTCAGAATCAGGATGACTTGTCAACTGCCAGCCAATTTTCCCTAGTGTACTGGCCACACCAATGTGAAGTCATCAGAGACAGAATCGAGCACATTGGTAAGTTATTGTGTTATGCTTAAAATCTTGTGTATGGGCAAAGAGGAAGCACACCAAGAATTTGTTGTCAGTTTAAGTGAAATCTTAAAAAACAAATCATTATTAGTCCAGATCTGATTGCTACAGAGAAGAGAAAAATAATAATGTAGTTTAAAATGTTGTATGTATGCTTCACCCAAACCCTTCTGGCTTTCTTTTCACTGCTCCTTCTGTTCCTGTGGCCAGCAGTTACATAGTAAAGGTTTCCTTTGGGTGGAAGCAAGAAGCTATTTGTTCAGAATTGTCAGCGTCTGGAGTCTTTTGCTGGGAGAAATACAATGAAGATGTCTTCTTCCTTATTCTAGTATCGAGACAACTCTGGGATCATTTATGTTTGCACACTCAGTCATACACCTTTCTCTTTCCTCATCAGTCTGCAGCAATAACAACAGAGAGTTTGTGGGTCAGGGTTAAAGGGAATATAGCTATGGGAGACATTACTGTGGGGATCTGTTACAGACCGCCTGATCAAGGAGAACCTGCGGATGAAGCACTCCATAGGCAGATAAGAAAAGCCTCACGCTAGCAGGCCCTTGTTCTCATGGGTGACTTCAACCACCCTGACATCTGTTGGAAGGACAGTACGGCCCGGCACAAGCAATCCAGGAGGTTCCTCGATTGTGTGGAAGACAACTTCCTTCTGCAAGTAACAGAGGAGCCGACAGGGAGAGGTGCCATGCTTGACCTCGTGCTCACCAACAGGGAAGGACTCGTTGGAAACGTGATGCTCCAGGGCAGCCTTGGGTGCAGTGATCACAAGATGGTCAAATTTGAGATCCTCAGGACAGTGAGAAGAGCGTGCAGCAAGCTCACTGCCCTGGACTTCAAAAGAGCAGACTTTGGCCTCTTCAGGAACCTGCTTAGTAAGGTTCCATGGGATACAGCCCTAGAGGGCAGGGGGGCCCAAGACTCTTGATTGATATTCAAGGATCACCTGCTACAAGCTCAGGAGTGTTGCATCCCAACTAGAAGGAAGTGCAGCAGGAGGGCCAGGAGACCTCCTTGGATGGATAAGGAGCTCCTGAGGAGAGTTGGGGTCAATGGCTCAATGTCCGGCTGGAGACCAGTAACGAGTGGTGCCCCTCAGGGATCGGTGTTGGGACCGGTCTTGTTTAACATCTTTGTCGCTGACTGGACAGTGGGATTGAGTGCGCCCTCAGCAAGTTTGCCGGTGACACCAAACTGTGTGGTTCGGTTGATACCCTGGAGGGAAGGAATGCCATCCAGAGGGACCTTGACACACTTGTGAGGTGGGCTGATGCCAACCTCATGAAGTTTAACCATGACAAGTGCAATGTCCTACACCTGGGTCAGAGCAATCCCAGGCACAACTACAGGTTGGGCAGAGAAGAGATTCAGAGCAGCCCTGTGGAGAAGGACTTGGGGGTGTTGGTTGATGAGAAAATGAACATGAGCCAGCAGTGTGCGCTTGCAGCCCAGAAAGCCAAGCGTATCCTGGGCTGCATCAAAAGGAGTGTGACCAGCAGGTCGAAGGAGGTGATCCTGCCCCTCTACTCTGCTCTTGTGAGACCTCACCTGGAGTATTGTGTGCAGTTCTGGTGTCCTCAACATAAAAAGGACATGGAACTGTTGGAACAAGTGCAGAGGAGGGCCACGAGGATGATCAGGGGACTGGGGCACCTCCCGTATGAAGACAGGCTGAGAAAGTTGGGGCTGTTCAGCCTGGAGAAGAGAAGGCTGCGTGGAGACCTCCTAGCAGCCTTCCAGTATCTGAAGGGGGCCTATAGGGATGCTGGGGAGGGACTCTTCATTAGAGACTGTAGTGATAGGACAAGGGGTCATGGGTTAAAACTTAAACAGGGAAAATTTAGATTGGATCTAAGGAGGAAATTCTTTCCTGTTAGGGTGGTGAGGCACTGGAATGGGTTGCCCACGGAAGTTGTGAATGCTCCATCCCTGGCAGTCTTCAAGACCAGGTTGGACGAGGCCTTGGGTGATATGGTTTAGTGTGAGGTGTCCCTGCCCATGGCAGAGGGGTTAGAACTTGATGATCTTAAGGTCCTTTCCAACCCTAACTATTCTATGATTCTATGATTCTATAATATGTTACGTCTGAATTTACAATATACAATGTTCTTTAAGTATGTAAGATGTTATTTCCTTGTTCTCTTTGTTGCCCCTAAAGCAAATTTTGTCCACCTCTAGGTCTGCATTTCTACACAAAACAACTCCTTGTTACTGCTGTCTGTATAAGCCTATGGTTGTACCATGCAAAGTAAACAAAAATAAAGCAAATTAGCCATACATACCTGGTCAGTTAGAAAAATTGCTGTCACAGCTAAATTAAGTGACACAAAGCTGCAGGCAGGTAAAGAAAAGTTCAGACAGAGCAAACTCAACAAGCCTGAGTCCTGAGGTCTTACAAATTCAAATTCTTACTAATCTCATATGCTGTTACTAGCAATATCAGTACTGTATTGCAGGGTCATACAGTAAAATATGAACATAAGCTAATAACTGCTTTTATGCAGTCTGTACATACAGCAAGCCTATTTTGGGACAGTGAAGACTTGAGCAGCCCCTGTGCTTTTAAATACAACCAATTGCAGTTTTGAAGTAATCAGTAGAAATAGAAATGCAGAAGTGGGATGGAAACAGCTGTGCCCTGATTCTTTTGCCTTTGAAACTAGATCCCAGTATCTTGAATGGAATGGGACAGGACTGCTGTGAGTATTACAGTGAGAAAAGGCCTACTGTCAGAATGAATCAGTGTTCAAAAGATATTTGACAATGCCAGGTAGATGCCATGTGAGTTACATGGGAACACTGCATTATAGCCATGCAGCATCTGCTGTCAATGTTGTCAGCAGTCAGTGACTTTGTAGTTGTGGCATCTGCTTTCCTAACAGTACCAATGCTGTCCAATGTTCACTGTTATCAGTCTCATCTGTAGTAACCAAGATGTACAGGCAAGAGGCAAGTTTGCACAGCAAAAGTTGGTCCTTGCACAGATCAGTGTGTATTTAGAGTTATAGTGAAGATTTGTTCACAGGTGCAAAAAATTAGGTTCAAAAGGGGACTTTCGTATTCGTTTGTGTGCAACTGGTATAAATAAGATTAACTGCTTTTCGATGTGTCCATATTATGAAGACTCTCATACAATCTTCCTGCTTGTAATCTTTTTGTGTTTCTCTTCTTTTTTTAGATTGGATACCCACTAACCCTGAGCCATTGTACACTGCAACAGGTTTGGAGATGATGCCATCACACCAAACTCCTGACAAAGGCACTGTGATTTTTCTAGGAGAAGGTGGGAACACTCTGAGAAACTTATTGTCAGCTGTAGACAGATGAAGCACCTGCTTTGATCTCCTTTGTGAACCTAATTTAAAGCCTGATGAAATCAATATGATTTTCTACTATTATTTTAAAGCACTTTGGAATAAATTTATTTTTCCTATAGATAGCGAAGGAAATAAGTTACATAGTTATACAGGTGGCTCATCATCCATAAGTTTGGTTCATACTGTTAATTATCTCAGAAGTCCAGCTCAGCTCAAACAGTTGTTCTCAGTGAATAACAACACTATGAAGCAGCCTGAAATGAGTTTGTTACGAAAATAGGAGTGGAGAAAGATAACAACCAAAAGAAAAAGTAAAAAAAAATGAGAGCTGTGTAACTGCAGGATCAACACTAAAGACTGTGTTGGGAAAATCTTTTGTTATCCTATTTGCTATAGTGGTTTTGCCAAGACATAAACAAAATCTGGCCAGACTGGGTAAGTGCTTCATTACAGGCTCCTAAGCCTGGCAGGGATTAATCAGACAGAATTGAAAGGAGTTAGTTGCCTTATTCCATCATCACCAGTTGATTATCATAGTTAGTTATTCTTTCATGTGTTTGCTAAGTTGGTACAGATGACTCGGAGAACTTGGAACTTCTGTCAGTTGCTGATTTTGTGTCTGAGCTACTCCTACATAGAAAGGATGATAACAGTTTTGCAATCATAGGGTGACTAGATGTGGCCATAAAGTTTTCAGAAGCACAATACTGAAGGGGAGCTGTTATCTTTCTTGAGGTCAACACAGTTAGTAAAAGCTTGCAATATACTGAAAAGCATTGATACTTTTTGACATCGGAAATTAGCTAAATTAGCTATTTATGCAGTATGGCTGCATTACCTGTCATTAGTAGGTTGCTACATTTGGTGGCAAAGAAAACTGGTACCTACTGTGTGATGAGGAAGGAACCTCTGTCCTCTGCACTGGGCCTGCTAATTTATTGCAAGGAATAAGATGTGAAGGAACACCCTGACTTCCAGCTCCCCACATTTTTGCAAACAAGGACAGTGATTTCTGTCATGGTCCTTTAGTTGCTGTTCTTCAAAAATGCAGCTTTCCCTGCCCTTTTTTACTAACTTGGACTTTATGCACAGGCGACTGGAAGTGATTCTTATTCTGGCCTGTACAACTCTCCAGCAAAGTGTGTATTTTGGTATAATGATTCCCAGACTTTGTTAATGAAACTTATATAAAATACCATGATAGAGATCTCAGGTTTTATGCATGCATTTCATTCTATAAAATGTGGCTGTTACAGATGACTGATACACTGGAACATGCTGCCCAGAGAAGCTGTGGGTACCCCATCCCTGGCAGTGTTCAAGGCCAGGTTGGATGGGGCTTGAAGCAAGACTTGGTCTAGTGGAAGGTGTCCCTGCTCATGTCAGGGGGTTGGAACTGGATGACCTCTAATGTCCCTTCCAACCCTAACCATTCTATGAGTCTGTGTTTCCAGAAACAGTTTTACTGGATTAACTACTGAAACATTTTTCTTCCTTGATGTTAAGGAAGAGCTTGAAGAGGAAGGGAAGGATAGAGAAACTGTGAGTGGAATTTCAGTTAAACAGAAAGTAATTATTCAAGTAGGTATCCCAGCTAGCAAGGTTAACAGCCCTTCTATAATGAAGACACCTGTGGGTCTCTAGTTAACTTCAGTCATGGAGAGCAATACGCTGAATATGGCTGTATTACTTGAATCACTGTTGCTATGTACAAAAGATACTATATATCTTTTGCATATTCACATATCTTTTGTATATGGCAACAGTGATTCAAAGAATAAAAAGAATGACATATAGGAATCTTGACTTTCACTGTACTGTAAGTACTGTCAGAGCTTTAGTAAGACTACAGGAGAGAATAGGACTGCTGCAGAATAAATCTCTCCACAGCCTCAGATAAGCAACGGCAAACACAGCTCTGATCTGAACAGGGAGTGCTGTACAGCCCTATTCCTGCTTTGTGGTACAGGGTCAGCCCCCCTTACTTGGCAACATGGTAAGGCAACAGTTTCTCCTCAGGTGGATCCAGCTGTAAGGAGATAGAAGCAAGAATACAGGAGCTGAGAATACAAAAGCCTGTCAGTCAGTGCCCCACTGCCAGTAAAAATCCTTCATTTTGCCAGTTAGAAAGCTATGAATTAGGGATATTTCTGCCAGATAAACATATGGTTTGATACCAGCAGTCTGAAACACAGAGTACATTGTTTCAGCTTGGAATACCTTCACTTTACAGCTCCTTTACCCTGAGCTGGCCCTAACCCAAGTGTCGGAGTTCAGCTTTGAAGTTGCAGTTGTCTGTTGCTAGAAGGAATTTTCAGAAGGATGCAGGTATTTCTTAAAATTACTCAGACTCGAAGACATCTGTTCTGCTCCTTCCCCTAGCTGACAAAAAATCCTGCTTTATGTATTCTCAAGTGAAAGATCTCCGCCCCCTGAAACAGATCCTCCCTCAGGAAGGGGATAACACACTAATCTTCGAAGCACGGTTTGAGAGTGGGAATTTGCAGAAGGTGGTCAAAGTGTAAGTTTCTGATCTTTTTTTGTCCTTTATTACAATGTAGTTATTATCAGTGGTGTTATTATCAACAGACTGCTATCAGTGTCTGGGCAGGATGTGTGACTCTGGGTTTGTGAATTGTTCTTACATTAGTTAAATAAGCTTCAAAAGTAGTTTCAGGTAGCCTTCACTTGAAATGGTGTGATAGCCATTCCATAGCGCTGAATGTTTTCTGTAGGTGATAATCACCCACACAAATTCGACACCTTTTCTTAAGTACCTCCTCTTAAAGCATAGTGTACAGAATGTTTCTAGAAGTCCTAATTGTTATTAGAAGTCCTAATGAAGGCAGCAGTTGCATCATTGACACACTTGGTGCAATTAGGCATCTTTTCCTGGCAGCTACATAGACTTCAATTCATGACAGTGTAAATTTGACTCACACATGATTCACTGCAGAGTGCTTTTTCATGGCAGTCCACATTATTTGACACTGCATCATGCTACGTTACTAACCAGCATCACAACTCTTTGTCTTCTTTCTGCCCACAAGCAATGAATTTGAGTACCAGCTGACCCTGCGCACTGACCTCTACACAAGCAGACACACTCAGTGGTACTACTTCCAAGTAAGCAATACGCAGGCAGGGGTGCCATATCGCTTCACTATTGTCAACTTTACCAAGCGGAACAGCCTATATAAGTGTGGCTTGCGGCCGCTGTTGTATTCAGAAGCTGATGCTAAGGAACACAAGGTTGGCTGGCGAAGGACTGGAAATGATATCAAGTATTATAAAACCAATGTGGGCCAAGATGGACGTCAGTATTTCTCACTCACTTGGACATTCCAATTCCCTTATGACCAAGACACCTGCTACTTTGCCCACTGCTATCCTTACACCTACTCCAACCTGCAAGAGTACCTGATGGCCATCTCTAAAGATCCAGTGAAATCCAAATTCTGCAAGATTCATATCTTGTGCCGTTCACTGGCAGGAAACACAGTGTATGCTTTAACTATCACCAACCTATCTACAGGTGACAAGGACACCAAAAGGAAGGCTGTGATACTAACTGCGAGGGTGCATCCAGGAGAAACTAACAGTTCCTGGATAATGAAGGGCTTTCTGGATTACATTCTTGGCGATTCAGGCAAAGCTCAACTCCTGCGGGACAATTTTGTCTTCAAAGTAGTACCCATGTTGAATCCAGATGGTGTGATTGTGGGAAATCACCGCTGCTCTTTAACAGGTCAGGACTTGAACCGCAAATACAGATCTCATGGGAAAAAAATTTATCCTTCCATCTGGTATACCAGAGAAATGATCAAAAGGTAACCTCATTTTCTTTCCCTTTAGAATAGATGATTTACCTTTCACTGTCTCTTTGTTACTGTGACTTCTCTGTGTCCCTAATGTTTTGTTATTTTTTACATCTTTGCCCTGTACCCCAACCTTTCTGACTGTTTTGTTTACCTGCAGTTGCATTTCAGAGTGGGTTATTTTTTCCTTCAGTATCGTACAGATTTTCCTTTAACATATTTTCTCCATTCCTGGTAATAAGTTCTATCTCCAAAATAAGAGTTTTTGTCAAAACATTTTCAGTATGTTTCTTTCCACTATCTTCTGCCAAAATCTACTTATCAAATTCCTTATGTCTTTAATTTTCTTTTTTTCTCACATACAGCCATGTCACAGAATTAAGTTAGGTTCAGAATAGATCCCAGATGTCTATTTGACAGCAAAGATTGCCAAGTTTGCTGTATGTTTTGCTACAAATACATTTGATTTCTTATGCAGACTTACAGGGACATTGATACTCTGGCTATAAAACTAAACCTTCAGCTAGTAAACTAAAGCCCTCTGGTTTAACTTCTCTTACAAATTAATACAAACGGGACTTTTTTCATCTAGTTACAGCATGTTTAAAGTAAGATCTGTGTTCTTCCAGATGATTGTTTTGGCATGTAGGTCCTTAGCTTTCAGGGAATGAGCACTGTGCCTATCCTTATTTTCCACAATTCCTCTCTCTGTCTTGCTATATGGAGAAAGCCTGCACTTGTGAGTGCCCCATAATTAACATTAATAATGTCTGCTGAAGTGCTGCTGACCTTTAGCCTCATATTCAGCTACTGTCAGCTGCAACAGACATGTTTATTACTGCTTCCTTCTTAGTTCCACCATGGATTTCCAACTCCTGCCTAGAGTAAACCCCCAGGTGACACAGTGTTGTGCCATCACATCTTCCCTGGAGAGCTCTGCTTCAACACAAATTGGGCACTGGGGGTATGGGTTGCTAAATCCCAATGTGTCTACCTGAAATATTTTTTTCAGTAATTAAGCAAGAATATATTGCAGAATCTTAGCACGTAAAAAAAATTGATGTCTCCAGTTTGATAAAGGAAGGAGTAGTCATTCAGTCTCATAATAGTACAGCATTTATCATTCAACATGTACAATACTGAAAGAGCAGCAGATAAGAATAGTAGATTTCAGTTGTACAATCTGATCATGTATACATCTAGAGAGCTGAATGTATATAACTGAGCATGGGAGTAAGAACAAACACATGGACAAAGGCTGATGATGCATACACTTGTATCTTACATCTGTGCAGTGACAAGTGAGTTTTTTCAGAAGAAACTGAGTAGTTTGGCTCTAATCTAGCAACACTAAGAGTTTAAGTTAGAGCTCAGAATATGGAACTTGTATTGATTTCTTGCTCTTTAGGTTACAAGTGAGCTTCAGTATAACATACTAGCTCAGACTAGTTTCTGAGGTGGAGGAGAAAAAAAGCCAAACCACTATTCTCTGTTGTCCTGTATTACAGAGTGATGGGGGAACGTGATGTTTTTATGTATTGTGACATCCATGGTCACAACAGGAAACAAAATGTCTTCATGTATGGTTGTGAGAGAAGGCCCCAGGTGAAAGCACCATATGTGCATCCACGTGTCTTCCCACTCCTGCTGAGCAAGAGCTGCCCAGATAAGGTGAGCAAAAGTCTGGCTAGAATCTTGCCTCAAAATTCAAGCACTACCTGGGATCCCTAATTTTTTGTTAAGATATCACATTTAATAAAAGACCATATTTCACCTAGTGAAATAATCTTCATTTGGCTAAAACTAGAAATAGTTGGAGTATGAAGTTTTAACTTCTTTAAAATTCCAGCACTTAAAAATGTATCGTGCTGAATTGAGACATAAAGTTAGCATTTTGTAAAAATTTTCTTTTTTAAAGAATGAAGAAAAGAACAACCCAAACCAGAATGCCAAAGCAACATTGGTTTAACACATCAAAACCTAACATTAAATATTGTGTATTTATAAATATATTTTTAAAATATATTGTAGAATTAAAACCAAACAAGTAAGTAAGAAATTAAAGAAGATAAAATGTTTTTCCAGATTAATCCTTTTGAAAACTTCTGTTGAAAAATGTGTCAAAATCACACTGTGTGAGCTATTTCGGTTGAGGGGAAGTTTAGTACAAAATCATGGCTTTTGAAATACATCATTTTCTGGCAAAATCTTACTACAGTAAGCTGCTTTTGGACAAGAAAGGTTGCAAAGGCTCAGGTATAAAACAGCACACAAACTGAACTACTAGATGTCATTGCATACTTATAGCTAATGCTGTTTTCTTCAGGTATCAATAATGAGGTGGTTGTGAGCTTCAGATTGATGGCATCAAACTGTTGAGGTATTAAATCATGAGAGAAGAGCTATTCTAACTTTTTAGTAAATATACATGCTGGTATGTAACAGGATTTGTGGTAACTGAGCTGGTCAGCTGTCTATATGTCCAAATATTTAGAAACAGTAAGTACAGCCACATTAAAAATTATGTTTAGATGTTTCAGAAATCCTCAGGTAAAATAATCTAATCAAAGGACTGTTATTTTACCTGCATTTCCATTATACCAGTAAAGACAGGCTGAGAAAATTGGGGCTGCTCAGCCTGGAGAAGGCTGATTGGAGACCTTATAGCAGCCTTCCAGTATCTGAAGAGAGCCTATAAGGATGCTGAGAAGGGACTCTTCATTAAGAACTGTAGTGCTAGGACAAGGGGTAATGGGTTCAAACTTATACAGGGGAAGTTCAGGTTAGATGTAAGGATGAAATTCTTTACTGTAAGGGTGGTGAGGCACTGGATGGGTTGCCCAAAGAAGTGGCGAATGCTCCATCCCTGGCAGTGTTCAAGGCCAGGTTGGAGAGAGCCTTGGATGACATGGTCTAGGGTGAGGCGTCCCTGCCTATGGCAGGGGGGGTTGAAACTAGATAATCTTAAGGTCCTTTCTAGCCAAAATCATTCTGTGATTCTATGATCTTCTGGGGTATGTTGTGCAATATTCAGGTAGAATGAAAACTCACATTTGTTTGCCTGGTAGATAAAGTTTTAAAAAAAACTTGCAGGATTAAAATTTAATTACTGCATTTTTCTCTTTACTTCAATGGCTGATGCTGCACCTGTCTTTTAAGTTCTCATTTCCAGACTGCAGTTTCAGAGTACGAAGGAGCAAAGAAGGCACAGGCCGAGTGGTGATGTGGAAGATGGGCATCAACAACAGCTACACTTTGGAAGCCTCTATCTGTGGCTCTAAGTTGGGTAAGACAATTCCCTGTAGCTATTTAATAGGAATAATCAAACAAGACCTTGTTTTTTTCATGGGAAAAAAATGTGCTTTTTCATGTTTTTTCCCTTTTTTGGTGTTCTCACCAGTAGCATTATTGCATATGTATCATGAAACAACATTAGTGGGTGGCAAATTAAAAGCTGTAACTAAGCCAGTTGTATTTTTAGGAATTTTGGATTAGAGAATCAGTTAACTATGCCTTACCCCCTCTGAGTGGATAGATTTGTTCATAAAGGCAGAATAATGATCTATAATACCATTTGTTTAAAACTACAACAGTTATAGACCTGTCTAGCATCTGTCAGTGAATTTGCAGTCAGACACCACCCTGAAATATCACAGTTACCTAGCAGTCAGCAGGATTGCTGACATTTTCATTTCTGTCTTGCTCCTGTTGATGCTGCAGGCTGCAGACAAAGCACTCATTTTGATGTGAAAGACTTGGAGTCAATAGGACAGCATTTCTGTGATGCCCTCTTGAACTATTGTGTTCATAATAAGGAGGTAAGGAAAATCCCCCTACGACTTTTCTCCTGCCTCAGTTCATCCTGCTGTGACAAAACAGTATTATAACCCTCTATAGGGTTATAATAATAATCAATTTGATAATGGCTTTCTTAAAACAGTGAACTAATTTTTTTCATGTTTCTTATTATTATCTGTGCCTGAGGAACATGAAAGTGTAATGAAACAGCAAGCCAGCGTGAGCTCCAAGGTCCTGAATTCTGGTGCGCTAGACTTGGATTCCAGGTAACTATTCAGATATACCACCATTTATTATATGTTCTCTGCATCTCATAAAGAGTACCAGAGTAAATATTACTAAAATTAGACTTTTAATAGTCACAGTCCTTAATTTAACACTCCTTAAGAAATTGCATACAAATCTTATAGCCAAACTTTAATAACCAGTTCAATTGGAAGCAGATCTCTGTATCTACCCCAGGTGGCCTTCCTGAAGCGAAATGAAACTGCATTGATACAGAGCTTGATCTATTGTATCATTTAAATCAATACACTTTTTTTCAGCCTTACGTTTTGCAGAGCAATCTAATATAAGGTATATTATTTGGTTTTGTGTAAACCTAATGTAATTAAGCATGGAAGATACTAGTCTGATTCCATATATGCAAAGGGATTAAGTTCAGGGTAGCTGATAACAGTGCAAGAATCCGTGCGCTGACCAGATGATACCCCTGTTAAACATGATCTGCTCCTCCTGCGCCAGTGATGACTCTGAGTAACTGCAAGATCAGTTGTGCAGGTGATTTGTAAGGGGTGAGTATTTAGTATGAACAGCTGTGGCCCTATGGTCATTTATTAGGGAATAAAACTTTAATACATTTCTTTTTTTCGAAGAACATTAATAGGCTGGATCTATCTCATCAGACTTGAGGTGCCCAAAGTATAGAAATCAAGAACTGAGCTTCACAGACCACAGCTGGTCCTGAACTACAAAAGAGACACATAGAACTAGGAGAAGACTTTCTGGGAACAAAGAAGATGATGTTCTATGGGATGATTTAGGAGGGGAGGGAGAAGGTGTGTGAAGCAGAGCTAAAACCTAGGTAGAAGCAGGAAGTACCCGCTGGATACAGCAGATCTCTTCCAGTAACCAAGCTTTTTCTAAGATGATGATACCCACTTCTTGCAGGTTAGTTGTAGGTCTGTAAAATTAAAATGTGGATGTGGAAGACAGGCATCTCTGCAGCTAGGGTTACTATAGAAAACACACGCTAATGGTTGGAATGAATGGTGCAAACTACTGTTTGCAGTCACCAAATTTGGAAATTAAACAAAACAATGCTTATCTTTCACAGCAGCCAAACTTCTGACAGCCCAAACTCCTGTGATCTTTATGCACACAAGCTAAAACTAGGTACTAAGGTATGCTATGACTTTTTCTTGTCTATTTACATCTCTGTCCTGAATGCCACTTGGGAAAGAATCACTACAGTTTAACAGGCTCTATTTCAAAGAACATTAGCGTTAAGTCACTCAGAATAGTCATTAACAAATCAATAGAGTTCACAGTCCAAATGAACAGTGTGGAACAATAGTATTAATTTTCATGATAGCTTAACCTAGATTGTCCAGATAGTGGTGGTTTTGTTTCAGAAGAAGGTAGCTTTCTACCTGTCAGGTTCTGAAGTACAGCTAAGTAAGCAGATAGAGGGTCAGTGTGTAGGAGGGCACCAGCTTTAAGCACAAGAAGTATGGTACAAGCCCATGTACCCTGTGTCAGCCATTCTTTGCAGATACCCAGTTCTGAGTGTTCAGGAGTTGTGTTCTCTCATGTATGCAGGCAGGTCATCACACTTGTGCTAAGTGCTGTCAGCATCAGACTATCCCATTGTCTACATCTAAGCTTATAGGCAAATGTAGCCCCAGATTTAATAGAGTGCTTTCACTGGAGGGCAATGAGACATTTTATTTTCCTGAAACCTGCATTTACTTGCTTGGCTGAAAAGAATGGGTTGAAACATTTTTTTTTGTCCTCCTTTACTTGGTGTTTGTTTCTTTGGTGCCTGAGATTACCATATTATTACTCAGTGTTTCCTGTAGATAAGCAAAACAAACTTCTTGTGAGTGAATACTTTCAGAAAGTTTGTGGATGAATGTTAGCCAACAATAATAGTTCCTGTAAATTGTTGCTTCCTGTTTGTGACATAAATACAGTAAATAAACAACAGTAAAAGGGGAAACTAGTACCAGGACTGTATACTAATAGTGTGTAAAACAGAAGTGACTGAAACAACCACAGGAAAAAAAATAGGATGGTTTTCTGCTGTGTTAATGAGTTAGATCACACAAGATGGTTTTTGAGTATCAGAACCAGTTTAAGGGATGTAGGCCAGAAGCAGGGACTAAAGTAGTTGGGGGGGGGGGGGGTGTGCAGGGCAGGGCAGGGGGGGCAGGGCAGGGCAGGGGGGACCGGGCAGGACAAAGAACAAAGGAAAAAAGACTTTCTCCTTCAGTAGCAGGAAGCCCTTAGAAGATCTCAGCAGTATGTGAAACCACAGCTTCAGGAGCTTACTTGAACCTCTCTATTTTAAAATATATTGTGTTTTATGAATTAATCACTAATTTAGTAACTATGAGGGGAAGTCTTCTCCAATAGAGATCCCTCTGGGTACAAAGCCCATCCCATCAAGTCCCTGTGGTAAGAGAGGATGAGTATGGTTAGGACTGAACCCAGCTTTGGCCACTTAAGAGCCTGATTCCTATATTGCCAATACCTATAAAAACAAATATACATTGCAAAACTATTTGTTAGGTTGAACTTCACTAGGTCCTGTTCTATAATTTCTGTGTGAAACATAGGCAAAGACATCTGTCATGCAATGAAATTATATGAATTGCATTCGTGCATCTCTCACACAGTGAATTAGAGCATTCTTGCCCCATGTAAATCCACTTCAGTGACTAATTAAGGTTATTAGATCAAAAGTCTTACCAAAATTGTTGTTGTTGTTCTTGATGGAATTTCTTAAAGGCATTTGCAAAAGGTGAATAACAAGGGATATCACAGATACAGTTGTGGGTTTTTTGCTGGAAATTCATGCTGGAGTTGTAAGTAGCCCTCAACAGCACTTTACTGTGTTCAACCTAGAAAACTATGGCCCTCATGTGAAATAGGAGCACTGTTATTGTTGCCTAAAGAAAGCAAACTGTTGTTTGGAAAGATGAAGTCACATTAATTTTTTTATAGGTATTATTCTTTTTATATGCGTGAACATTATAATGCTAGCTGCTTTATTAAGGCTTTCATTGGTTCAATAGGTCTACCCAGCCTTTTTGCATTTTATGCCAGTCTTTGTTTTCAGAAGCCGCAACTTCGGAAAAAGAGTTGTGGCAATTAATACTACTGAGAAAGCACAGCTGTCCAGGTTCCCAGACTAAAAATAAACAAGCCATTGAGTAGGAAGTGAGGTCCCTTGTCAATATGGTATGTTTGTGTCCAGGTTCATAAATATTTGCTGAACAGCATAAGGAATTCAATCTGAAGCAGCTTGCTCCTTCTGGCATTGTGATTATCATGTTTATTTACAACTGGTTTGTTTTGGGTTTTTTTTTCATTGTAACTATACTATTCCCCTATGAATCAAAATGGTTACATACTATTTTCTGTGCAGAAAAAAAATAAAGCATCAGGAGAACATTTTCACAGCACTGCTAAGGACAGAAGTCATGAAAGCAAAAATGTGAGTATTTTTCATCCCTGCAGAAAAATGTTGTGCTCTTCTTCTAACTAGAGACTGATACATGACAACTTAATTCAATCACTATACCTTTAGACAAACAATATTGTCACCAAAAGGTGCTGACCTAGAATGCCCATTGCTTTTTATTGTGTATTTTATCTGTGAATGAAGTATCAACACCAGCAAGTCTGGGGCAGGAAAAAATGGTAAAATTATACATTATTGAACACATTTAGATCTTTCTGTTAAAGAATATGCCTTGGAGCTGGAGATGATACCAGCTTTTCATCAGTCTTCAAAACTACTATCACCTCACTTCCTCAGATGGACCTGTTACACTTCCAGTTTCATTGAACAAGTTTTTTGCCAAGTCCATTGAAGTATTTTCTGGTTTTTTTTCCAGTTCAGTATAGTGCTGTGAAGAGAAAGGGAAAGGTCACAAAACATTTTAGGGATACAGGAAATACATTTTTTTAATTAACTTTGGGATCATTACCAAGCCCAGACTCTGAAATACTTGTGCTGGCAATATTTGTGAACCTGCATCATGCTCCTCCTACCAGTCAGAGTGTGTGATTTGGTACTCAGCATTAGCCTCCCTAGCAACCACCACAGAATTAAATTTACTAAAGGGTCATTGTTAGAACAGTTGATACAAGATCTGATCTTTTTTAAAACTTCTCTATTATTATTGTTTGGTATCCTACATAACTATTTCAACAATGTGAGCCTCGCTGTAGTTGACACACACTTAAAAATCATAGATGGAAATAATGTCGTCTGATGTTATGTTCCTACTTTCATGAAAAGGAATTTAACTATTTTTTACAATGCTGAGCACCCAACAACTTGCAAAGTGAACACAAGTTGCTGACTTCTCTGAGCTTTTGAAAATCAAGCCAAATACTGAATGCCTAGCTTGCCTTCTGCTGGGGTTGTGTAGTGCTGGTGGTGGTGTGTGGAAGGAGAGAGAGAAAAGAAAGAAAAAAGAGAGAAAAAAGAGAAAAGAAAAAAAAAGAAAAAGAGAACGAGAAGGAAAGGAAGGGAAGGAAAAAGAAAAAAGAGAAGAGAAAGGGAAAAGGAACGAAAAAGGAAGAAAGAGCCCAGCCTTTACATGTTAACTCTTTTCCCACTAGTTATTGAACCCTTATGAAACTTCCCGTCATAACCTAGTGTGCACTCATTGAACAAGCCAGAAAGTGGCTGACTGATAATACCTTTTTGTTAGTCTTTTGAAACTAAATAATACTAATTATTCAGTCGTGTTTCTATTCTGTTTCACAGACTCAAGGCATTGAAACTCAACATAAGGTATTTGACACAGTGAAAAAAGGTAAACATTGTATGCTTGTTTAATTCTTCAAATCCCAATAAGTCAATTTTTCTCTATAATCTCAAACCTCAGTAAAGAGTATGTTCCAAAAAGATAAGTACAGAGTTCTTTGGCTGGGGTTTCACCTAGTCTCAGCATTTAGAAGACCTCATTTTTCTTTAGTTTAAACTGTCTTCATTGCATTCTTACCCTCTGCTTTACTGACTGGAACACTGTCTCTGGAGAAAAACTGAACCCAAGGCAAGTTCCAGAGATGTGAAAAAATATTTGCTCATATTGGCAGTATGGTACATACTGGTACTTACGGTACCATACATATGTTATATGTGACAATGTGCTCATTTGGTCCAGAGAAACTAGAGAAGAAAACTTTCATCAGTGAAACAGGGCAGAACAAATCCTATGGAACTTTTTGGTTTCAGTACAGATAAATGAAAGAAGCAAATGTGGAGGCTAAGGAAACAGATCTGGAGGACTTGTGTCATTGCAAACTAGGAAATCTGGGGAAGATTTAGATGTCAAAGTGAACAAGTAGCGCAACGTGAGTTCTGTTCATATACCACAAGGACAAATATGGTTCTTACCTACATGAAAATAGAAGGAGGGAAAAGCTATCTTGACTTCTCCGTAGAACTTCTCTGAGACTAATACTGAATTCCTTTAACTGCTTCTGATGTTAGCATTATTTTTAAGATTTAAAAAAAAAAAAAAAATAATGAAAGTATTTAAGAACCAGAGACAACCTCTAGTCAAGACACTTAAGAGAGTTCAGTCACTTTATGATGAAATGAGACTTCATGGAATGAAAGTTGTCCCCTAAAATATAACAACATTCTTCAGAAGAGTAGCTCAAAGTAGCAGAGAGATCCTCAGCTTATGAAAAAGAAAGCATGAGAAGCTGTGACTGCAGTTGTTGAGACAAATTTGCATTAGAAATGAGATTTGTGGTTTGGCATTGAGTCAGAAAACTCCAGACGTAGTGAGTTTTCTGTCTTGCTTCAGTCAAACACACAGTCTACAACAGGGGTCACAGAAGACTGAATGAAATCGCTAGCCTATTTTTCGTGGTAGGTGAAGCAAATTATGAAATAATCTGTGGTTCTTTCAGGCCTTAAAAATCTGATTTTCATTGTACAGATGACAGAATAGGCTTCTTACAGGAACATAAAGTTTATTGAATTCAGAAGTTTAAGGGTAGGGTTTGGTAGACTGTTAGGGTTTTAATTCAAAACATTGATGTGGACAGAGTACTGAAAAACAATGGAAATTGTTATGCTTAGTGTCAAACTTTGTGGCTTTGCAGATACCCACAAAGCCATAGGAAACAGCCCACTGTCAAGCTTACAAAGCCAACAAGTTAATCTGTGAGGAAAAGAGTGAAGTAAAAATGTCCTGAATACAAAGCTGCCTTTCCTCACCTCACAGTGTCACAAGTTGATTTTTGCCATTGTTTTTATTTATTCCAACAGACACCTGTGAGCAGTGTTAATTACAGCATCGTGTCACTATTTAAAAATTCTTACAGCTTATATTATTGCCAAAAGTTTGCAAAGCTGATAGCACATTTCTCTTCAATTCTGACCTTTCCTACACAGCTGAACAAGCCTCATGAAATAGTCCCAAGAACTACAAAAGGAAAAAAAAAAAGAGGATTCTTCTTATGAAATAAGAGTTTTAAAATCTTTTCCAGATGTCATGCCAGCGAATTATACAGTACAGTATTTCAGCTGTTATTTTCATCAGCAGAGATATAAAATTCCCCAGTGAGGACAGGTTGAGAAATATTAAAAGTCATCCCTAATATCTGTGGGTTTATATACAAGAGGGATTTATGGATTCATAGCAAGCTATCACAGATCAGTTAAACAGAGGAAGGTAAGAACATACTACTTATTCTCTGCTTACATTAAAGATCCTGGAATTAATTCTCAGGACGATCCTTATTCATATGATTTTCACATTCCGGGTGCTGAAAATCTAACAGACTCCGTGCTTGGTTCTGAATTCCTGTCTTGTTTTTCTCAGACATACACCCAGAGCTATTCTGCCTTATGGCTACTTTGGTTTTGTCTTAGAGAACCTAACAAAAACAATACCAAAGCCTAAACCATACACAAAGAACTCCAAAATGGTAGGGTATCTGGAAAGCTAACAGATGAATATATGGTTTGTGACAGCATTTGTAGGAAGGTTCGTGATAGGCTTCACGACTGGATTCATAGATGATTGAGGGAATCATTTGTTCTTTATGTATTTTTTAAACCTATGTAAATATAACTGGAAGGTTTGCCTGCATTTTTCCCTCCCTACTTCATTTTGGCCAACTGGGTCAAGTATTACTAATAAAATTCAGTCTTAACTGTATAAAGCACCTCTTCACTTAGAATAAAAGAAGCTATAAAATGCTGTCAATATTTGTGTCCGAAGGTGCCCTAGGGCACCTTGTTCTTACCCAGTCAGCCACCAGTGAGCACCAGCTCAGTGAGCGCTAGCAGCTGAACAGCTCATGAACATGTATCACCTGGCAAGACCAGTCAGGTGGCACCAGCTCTTCTTTGCTCCCACTCCCATCTTGCTTGACCGGTGGGGTTTGACATAGTATTCATGCTCTGGAGATGTCTGTTATGACTCTAGTCCAGTGTCATTTGAATATCAAACATGTGCTTTCCTTGGAGCAGACACTAGGAACACAAACAGCAGAGTTGCATGACTACCAACACAAAACAGTCATGTTGCCTTTGGCACCTCTACTTCCTGATTCGCAGTTCTGTGTGTAGTGGAGCAATTTCAGTGGGAGCTACGTAGTGTCTTTATCCCCAGATAGCCTTTGTTAGGCAATAGATAAAGAAGGGGAGGTGGGCATATGAGTTATGGTCTGCTAAATAAGAAGAAAGACTTAATCCCCACAATTAGTCATCTGGGTAAATGGCTTGATCTCCATCAGTGTCTGCTTACTGTAACTCCGCTTACTGTAACTGTGTGAGCCTCAGCCAGTTATTGAGTCTGACCTGGCCAAGACAAAATTTGGATGTTTCATTGTGGTGGTTGTTTTTTTTTTTAATTTCTTTTTAAACATCTGATATGCACTTTCAGTGTTTTACTTTTTTTTTTTTCCTCACTTCTCACAGTAGAATTGCCAGTTGCAGCCTCTGCCACACAAGTAGGAGAGGATCTCAGGTAGGATACTGTTCTATTTTACAGGTTTCTAGCATTTTTCACAAAGCAAGAGTGAGAAAATGAACCCAGGATGATTTCTCTCCAAATTCATGCTCCTGCTTTTTATGCTCCTCTGACATTGTGCTTCATCGGTTTTCATTCATAAACTAGACAGTTGTCCTTGGCCACTTCATGCCACGGTTGAGACTGCAGTGGAAAGTGACATTAGAGAAGCAGAGAATCCTCTTTCCTCCATCTCATCTAGAACACCGGACCCCCTCCTTCAGCACATAGCTGAAGCTCCTTTTTCCCTCTTTGCTGCACACTGTCACACAGGCAGTGATTTGGGTCATTCCTGGAGGAAGGGATGATTGCCACTGCCTTGGGAGGGAGGGAAAAGATAGGGCCACATGTCTACTGAGAAACAGGGTAGAGGTGAGAAAATACAAGACCAAGCCAGGCTAGGTAGCACAGACAGTCCAAAACAGACAGTTAATAGTTTAGAATAGCTGGATATCTTAAAATCACAGTATTGTCATGGTGCTGGTGCATAGCTCGTTGCTAGTGCATTCCCTTCACTTCTACATTCTGGTGCTTTGGTCAAGAACAATGAAGGTTGTACACTGATGGGTGTGTGAGGCCCCATGGCAGTAACACTATCAGTGTGGATTACTTTCATAAGCATTCACCTACTGATGGCATACAACGTCCTGTGTCTTGCTGAGTGCACAGCTGGCTGTTCTTGGGTAACAGAGCAAAGTGGAGTTAGCCAGCCAGTTAGATTGCAGCAGATCCTGCCACAAACACCACTTTTTACTTCTGTGATGGAAAAGTAACCTGCTGCTGCTTCCGTGATGGGTACTTCCTGCTGACTCAGACGGGATAGTGTTATAGTGGCTACATGATATTGGCACTAGTGTCCTTAAGACAATGTGATGGCATTGTGGTTCTGTGTAGCTTGAAATATAGTAAATTACTATTTATTAATTTATTTATTATATGCTTCTAAGGAAATGCTCAGACTAAAGTGGCAGGAATTTTACCTGTCAGGATTTTCTGTTCTTTTATGTATATATTGTCATGAATTTGTGTTGAGATAAAATATTTTCCGGCCTGACCTCTGTGTGTTATAGCTCCAAGAGTCACACCCATAATGCTAAAGGAAAGCATGAAAAAACATCTGTGCCTCAGGAGGCAGGAAAAAGTGTGTGCCATGATATGATCCTGTCCACAAGAGAAAATTTCCATTCATCCAGCTTTAATCTGTTCTCCCAGAAGATGAAGAAACAGAAGGGCAAAAGCGTCTCCAAGCCTGCAGAGAAGACATTTCAATCTTTAACAGGTTTCTCCATTATTGTTCTACTAGAAATACACCAAAGAACAGGATTGAGTTTTGTTTGGTGGGTTTCTGAAAGATGTAAGACAGATGGTAGCAGTACATTAGCAGTGCTGGAAAACTCCTTTGCTGTGGCAGATACCAGAGCTGGTTTCATGGAGCTTCCCAGCTGAGACACTGGAAGTCCAGAAACTCATTAACCTCTTTGTAAACAGCTAAGGGAAAAGAGCTTGGAAAATCTCAACTTAATGGCAAAGGATAATGCCTCTGACCCTGCACTATCCTTCTGCAGTTACTGGTAGGAAAGGCTCTAGCCACTGGTTCATTGCTTTTCGCATGTTATCAGAATGCCATAAAAGGATGTACAGTCTGATCCTGGGAAGTGTTGGGATTAACCTTTTCAGAGAGGGGTCAATAGACTATCGTATCACTGCAGCAATAAAATGGGGTCCTGTTCCTACGGCTGAAGTTCCCACATTTTAGCACTAGATTTTGAATCATGCTGTGGCTCTCCTTTCTTAAAGGAAATGTTTCTGCGATAATGCCGCAGTTTCTTGTGAAGGAAACTAAAGCCATGTACTTATTTAGTAACTAGTGACCCTGTAGTAGTTGATACGGATTTGCTTTTTTTGTCCTTTTTGGCTCAGGTCATGATCGTGCAAAGAGCGATTCAAAAAAGGGAGAAAGGAAAATGAAGGAGAGGCTCCCCTCAAAAAACAGAAGGCTCCAGAAAACCAAGACAGCAAGACAGGATGTATATTTTGGGAAGAGTAAATTCTGCCAGGGACAAGACAAGCTGCAATTCCCTCTGCCATTACTGCCTGAAGAAAAGAACAGACAACACGCTGCAAAATACCAGCGTATATTCGTGAGCTCCAGTTCTTTCACCAATGAAGGAACATGAAAGTGTCATGTATCTGATGCGCTTAAACAATTCCCAAGACTTTGGTTGTGGATTATGATTCTACCAGCAAGGGGGTAGATACCTGCAGAAATCAAAATTATTCTTGCTCTTTAAAAAAAAGTAAATAAGTTCACACACATCGTCTAATGTATACCATGAAATTTCTCTTACACATGAAGAAGTATCCCACATTCTAAACCAGTTTAACAGGGAGTCTCTGAAACAATTTCTTAAACAATACCTACTGTTTTTTTGATGCAGACTCCACTTCCAGGAAGAGCTAGGTGAAGAACCAAATTCCCTCCTGCCGCTTTTTTCCTTTTTTATTATTTTTCCCTTCTTCACTCTGGAAGTTTCCTGGGATTCTCAGGTAGAGGGCTTATTCACCAAGCAGCTGAAGCCACCATTCCTTGGTCAGAGTAAAACAACTCAAGTCATAAGCTGCGAAAATCATTCCCCCTTTCACCAACAAACCAAATACGTTACACTCAAAAAAAATTGACGTAAAATCTGAACACAGTCAAGTCTGTGGAACACTTTGCTAAAGGGTATCATGGATGCAAAAAACATACATGGATTCAGGTGAGCATGTGCCTTATAGATAGACCACTGGGAGTTTTGAATATACATATATTGGCTTCAGAAATGTCCTCAGCTGAAAACAGTGATAATCTATGAGGGTGCTTGGGAAAAGTATTGGATATGTTTATTCTGTGCCTGCTTTCCCCTGGAAATCGATGCAGTCAACTTGGAGGCAGGGTGCTGTGGTACATGGCCCCTTAGTCTAAAACCAATATAGCCATTCATGTGTTCTTACATACCTGGGAAATATTTTATTCATTACAATAATATACCTGGATAGTTTGCATCTTCTTAATGTGTATAGCATTGTACAGACATTGGGGAGAAAAGATGAAGAATATGCTGTTTAAGACAAGTACAGACACCACAACAGACACCAATTGGCAAGTCTTAGTTTTCCACACAGACCAGACCTAGACCTTTTTTCAAACACAAAGGGAAGTACAGACAATGTGTGCAGTATCAGGCAGGACTGTTTTATTACCCCGGGTTACTGGAAGGAAATACCCCACACATACGTATCTGTTGTGTGCTGTTGAAGAGACAAGGGAAAACCATGCCACACCACAGCAAGACAAATTCAGGGACAACGACAAAATTAGACATATAGGCACAAAGCCATTATTACGAGGCCTCACAGAGACAACTGGGTCAGTCTTCTGTCAGGGCTAGAACTGGATACAAATGTGGTGAGGAAGAGCACCTATAAAGAGAGAGGCTGCAGTCGGCCGGTCACCAGTCCTAGGGAATGAATTCTGAGAGCTTCACAACTGATACCCTGTAGGGCTAGGGTTCAGTCTCATGGAATACTAAGTGTAACACACGTGCAGACAGCACAAAGTCATTTAGCTTTGCCCTGCCTTGAACGCCTGCTTTTGGGTTGCCAGCAACCTTCTCATGACAGCTATAGGAAGAAAAGCATAGAGTTGGTTTTGTTTCACTGAGATTTATTTTTGGTTGTCAGCAGGTTACAGATGAGAAAAAAAACCAAAAAATACTTGTCATTCTATGATTTCTTCTCACCAGCTTAGGGACTCCCACAGGAATCTCTCAAGTTTGGTGCTATGGGGCAGTACTACCTGTAGCTGAGAAGGTATCTGAGCAACTAGACGGAACAGAGTTCTGTGGGTATTCCTTCAGGAATGAGGACCGGTGTCATAACCAACTTTTTGGAGTATGTGTAGTAGCTTATTTTTAAAATAGTAGGCTAAAATAAGCAAAACACTTTTGAAATTCCCAGCTCATCTCATGCTTTGCTTATGATTGCTAAAATTACTACAACTGCTGATAATGTTGCTGTGTTTGCTTTCACTGCACCACGTAGAAGTCCTGCTCTCTATCTCCTCTGCCTTCCCATTCTTTATCCATAAGACATGTCATGTTGATGATCATCCCCCTGCGTACCCAACATCACAGCTATCACAGCTATCCTCTTCAGTGGCTCCATCAGCAGGTAGACATTGGGCACCTGAAGCCAAAGGGGCAGCCAGGGCACGCCTGTAAAATGTCCCTAGGAAGGAGGATTGCATCCTGGCCAGCCTTCAGGCACAATCTTCCCTACCCAAAGGGGAGAAGGTGAGTGAGCTACTGGGCAGGGAGGCAGCCAAAGGTGTGGAAGGAGGCCTCCAGAGTAAGGCCAGCTGGGACCAAGGGCAAGCCTTGAGCTGGACTTTGACTGGACCTTTCTCTACTGGCAGCCGTGGCATCCCAGGTGGCATTACAATCAGCAAAGACCGAGACCCTGCAGGGGAGGAGACACAGAGCTCCTCGGGGAGCACTGCGGAGCACTTTTACCATAGCTGCACAATCAGGCAACCAGCTCTGGTCAGAAGGATGACGCATTCCAAAAGTAACGTTCCCAACTGGTGCATTTATTGCCCTGAGCAGAGCAGTGCAGGCTGCAGAGATGGAGATGTGTGCAAACGCTAAACCAGAATGAGCGGCCATCTGTCACACTCATGAGGGCTGAAGTGCAGGAGATGGGATCAGTCACCCCTCAGGAGGACAATGGCTCCAGGGAGAAGTGCTGTGTCATGACAGAGCAGGCCCACTGTGGCAGCCATCCTGAATACCCCAGCAAACAGGACCCCAGAGCAAAGTGAGGATGTGTCTGAAGGAGCTGCATACGCCTTCCACCTGTGGCAGCAAAACAGCAAGCCTCCCCTGCAGTCTGAGGTCAGCTGAGGAGTTGGCTGATCACCAGACCCAAATCATACATGCTTTTTCTTCCTGAGTTACAGAAAAGTGAATGGCGTGAGACCAAACTGTGTGACCTCCCCTCTGGAGAGCACAAACATGCCTCCTGCCAGTGGATGGTTCTCCACTGCAACAGAGCTGTTGCCTCCGTGGTCTCTGCTCATCCCTCAGTTTCCCAGCCAGCAGCCCCAGTGTTAGATGACGGCCATGTTCAGCCACAAGGCTTCCTTCTGTGTCCCCACCATTCACCACTTTCAGCTCAGCAGCTGTGTCCTGCTAAGTTTCCTGCTGCAAGCCTTTTGTCCCCATTTCTTCCACCACAACCCCTGCCTAAGCCATCTGTGAGCTTATCCAGATCCTCTTCTGTGCTAAAATTATTGCACGCACACAGGCCAGTTAGGAAGGCACCTGCCCACCACCAGCGGCCTGGCAGCTTTAAGCACTGAGTTTCTCTCAGGGCTTCCTCACGTATTCCTTTCACCTACCTTGTGCCCTTGGGTATGAGTTGCAAGTATTACAGGCTCACAATGTGTGTACTCCCTGGAAGCTTCCAGGCCGTGTCTAAATGTGGAATTACTAGGTGGGACTCTCTGAACAGCTTCATGGCAGGGGGTTCCACACACATCACTCTCCACCACACACCTCCTATTTAGATGACACAGTATCAGGGAGGAGCTCTGCATGAGGCTTCATGGCCTTCAAAACCAAAACTGAAAGCAGAGGCAGCTGCCTGTGGCACAATAGGGGCACTGGTGAGAGCCCAGCTGACGTGGGACTTGGCAGCAGCCACAGACCTGCTCCGCTCACCGGGGGGGCACCTCGTCCCTATCCGGTGTGTTTTGATTCCGCACCCAGACAGATGGGCAGCCCGTAAGTATCCTCCACCGCGTCTCCCACCTTTCTAATGCTGCAGCTGTCGGTGGGAGCTGCCAGGAGAAATGATGCTGCAGGTGCTGATGTCTGGGAGGCAACAGGCGCTTCCCCAGCTGCGGGACATTTCTGGGCCAGGCACTCTGGTCTGTGTGCCAGCAATCCTTAGCTTGTCAGCAGCCTTGTTTCACAGGTGGTCTTCCCCTCTCCCTCCCTGCAGCTGATCCTGCCTGAGGGAGAAAAATGGATCCTGGGGCGGAGTGGGTGGCTTGCAGGAAAGGTGCCGAGTCTAAAGCTGCCTTCCCACTGCTCTCGCACAGCGCTACTCCCCGAGCATCCAGGGTTGGGGGATGCAGGAAAGCCCGTCTCCTGGCTTTTCGGTGCAAGAGAAAATGCCCATTCCCTCACCCCTTTGCATTCAGGCTGTTCAATGCAGTAGGGTCCAGCAGCTCCACAGGGATATTTGTCCCTGCACAGAGACCAGATCCTGTGCCGGACCTGCATGCTTGGCCTCCCTCTCCTGCTGCCTTTGCCCAGGCACTTGGCCAGCCGTGTACTGAGGGGAAGGCACAGCCCCAGCCTGGGAAGGTGCTCACCCGCCTACAAGCCAGCAAAGGGAAGGGCTGTGGAGTTCCATCAGCACAGAGGGTCCCTACGAGCCCCATCTCGCACACACACACCGCGGGGAACTTCTAAGCCATGAACGTGGAGCCTCAATTTCCTGAGAGACTGAGAAACACAGCTCTCCCATGGGAAAAGCACTGTACCTCCAGCGATGCCTGCCCGGAAACAAGGATCTGAAGCCATGCTGGTTCTTGCTGCACTGTGCATTGGGTTCCCCTTTCTTGCACCTTTGAGGCAGAGCCACAGACTCTCACATCCAAAGGCACAGGCGCCTCCTTAGAGGCAGAGGGTCTGCCGAAGCTTGGGAAAAGCCTCAGCTGGACACCGCTCTTTCCTGTTCATCGACCGCTTCTCAGCCAGGCTGCCTCCCAACCAGCCTCGGGGCCAAGCCGCAGACCCCACGGATGCCGGATGTCGTGTCTGTGGCTGAGCTGGTGGCTGGGCGCCAGCTCTCAGCTCTCATTGCCAAACCATACTTCACCTCTAGGCCAGCTGTGTGCTGTCTGACCCAGACAGCAAGGGGCACCCACACCAGGAGCGATTCTGTCCCTGGCACAATCACACCTGGGAACAGGGATTTATCGGCTGGGCTGAGGTGGGGAGGCAGCTGGAGGCTGAGAGGCAAATCCGCCTGCAGTTCGGCAGAGTGAACCGAGAGGCATCACTGGGAAAAAAAACAATTGGTCCTTACAGATGTGAGCCTCAATGCAGAGAAGAGGGCAGAGAGACCATGAGATTTCCCTATGGCTCTCATATACGCATAGATCATACAGCAGCACAGGGTCTCTGAGGTGGTTCTTCTCCACCCCTGCTGTGTATTTCCATGCACCTGCTCAGAATGGCCCTGTGCAGCAGTCCTGCAGTGAGCCCACAGCACGCACCAACACACACCACAGAGTGCTGCTTCCCAGGAACAGCAGTGTGTAACACACACCGCTCGACCTGGGGCACAGGAACAAGGTGACCATTTCTGGCCCTGAGCCAGACGGCAGTGGAGGGGACAGACCAGAACAAGCACACAGTGGACAGAGCTCCCTGGTTCTATCTCTCCCAAGTGCAAGCAGGAAGAGAAGCAAACAGGCTTCCTTTCTTGGAGCTGTCCAAAGACACTGCTCCTCCTCCACCTCCTGGACTTACCAGGGATGTCTGTGCGGAACTGTGACCCTAGGAGCTGTGGGTTTCAACACTGACATCACAGCAGCAGCCTTTGAGACTGCAGAACTGGTTCTGTGTGAGAGCACGTCCACAAAGCTCAGACCAACACAAGCCCACGAAAGGGTGTGCAGGGTGAAGGCTGGCAAAGACTGGGTTGCAGTGGGCCACCATAGCCAGAGCATTGCATGGGGTCTCTCTGCCACAGTGGTGCACAGCACTGCTCTATGCCCTGTCTACAACCTTGCATAAAGAAGCTGCTGCTTCTCCCCCATCCCCTTCAAGGACATGAGGGTCCGTTTTCTCTCCTGCTGTGGTCTTGGTGTGGGGGATGTGGTTGGCAATGCTGGTTGGACCGATTCTTCATTTCAATAAAGGCTCTTGCACCTGCGCCAGCCTCATGTGGTTTATTCATCCCCCTTTCAGGCAGGGAAGAGGATGCTGAGCCATCCTACCAGCTCCATAGGCCACCAACACAGCAGATACACAGCGCACTCCACGCCCTCCCCGCACCATCCTCCCTGCTGTGGGAGCGGACAGCCGCCTCACTGGCCCCTTTGCTCCTGGGCAGTCACAGAGGGGCAGCGTTAGCTGAAAAAGATCTCCCTGACATATTTCAGAACATCATCTTGAGAGTCCTCCCAGCCTGTCCTCTTTGCATCAGCGTCAGGAGGGGATGGGAGAGCTGGACTGCGGTCGCTGCCTCCCCCCGTGCTGGCTGTGTTTCCAGGAGCCTCGCCTGACGTTGGCTGGAGCTCCTGCTCCTCTTCACTCCGGGACCAGGCCTTCTCCTCTTCCTCGCGCTGTAGCTTCTGACGAAAGGGAAAACAAACAGGCCCGGCTGTGCGCGGCTTCACGCCGGGAGCCTCCAAGAGGCGGAGGTGAGGGCAGCCCAGCACCCCGCGGGACACCCCTCGCCGGACCTCGGGGGCCGATGGGTTTGTCTCGCGGCGCCGACGGACGAGAGCAGTGCTCAGGCACCGGCAGCCTCCGACAAACGGAGGGAGGGGCCCAGGCAACCCGGGCGGTGCTCGGCAGCGTTGCCAGCTCCGCCTGCCGGAGAGGGGCCGCCCGGGAGCTGCGGCCTGCAGCGCTTCCTGCCCCTGCACAGCCAGGGCCGGGGGTGAGGGCTCACCTCGGCCAGAACCGCGAGTGCCGCGTTCACCAGCTCCGACTCGTTCATGCAGTGCACTGCCGCCACCGCCCTGGGCGCCGCATGGGGACGGAGACACTCAGCGCGGGACTGGCACGGGCACGCTCCCCCGTGCCCGCAGCCCCAGCGGCCGCGTCGCTACCTGGGCCTTGCCGCCGCCTTCCGCCTTCCGGCCGCTGGGACCGGGGCCGCGGCCGGCCCTTCGTCACCCGCCGTCCTCATCCAGGCTGGGAGGCGCCGCCGCCGCGGAGCCGCCTTCGCCATGCCCGGCGCGGGAGCCTCAACGGGAAGAGCGCGCTCCGACGTCATAAGCCCTCTGTGACGCGTGCAGCGCGTGTAGGGCGAGACAAGGAGGCACAAAAGTACAAAATGTAATCAGTTCTAAGCGATGTTAAAGCTTGATGGCTTTGTAATGGAAAATAACCGCGGTGCTTGAAGGTAGCTGACATACATTCAGGTCCTCAGGACCTGAGCACAAAAGGTGTGGGAAAAGCAGAACAGAAAAACAGGACCTGGGGATGGGGAGTATCTGGGACTAGCAGATGTCCAGGGTGGGCACAGATAAACCAACTGATAAGTAAAACGACAGGATGATTGCTATGCTTGGGGTGTTAATAAACCCATTAAGCTGGTGTAAGCATCTACTAGGGAGTATCCCGGGACTAGCAGATGTCCAGGATGAGATCAGTTAAAGTAACTGATAAGTAGGAGGACAGGGTGATTGCTACTTCTGTAATGTTAATTAAGCTGGTTATGAACACTGTTGAGAAAAACGACCCGTAAAGACCACCGTCACATTTTTGTATGCATGCGGGAAACCTTCTGGAAAATGATGTAATATGTCCAGTGACCATATAAGGATGACCTGTATTCGGGGACACACGTTAGGAGGAGCTATCCCCCGTGTCTCCTGGCGCCGCAATAAAGAATACCTGCTTGTCAACTTGAAACTCTGTTGGCGAGTTTGTTCCTGGAGTTTTCTCCGAATCAATTTGGCGACCCAGATGGGACCCTCTCTGCTCGGCTGCAGGACCCGCTGAGGACAGGGCTCCCTAGGGCCCTCGGGAGTTTTTCCCGGAGGGACCCCTCGACTCATTCGGATCACTGCGGGAGCAGACAAGGACCATCTCATAAAAGGTATTCTTTTCTTTTATATAGTCTGTAAGATGCAGGGGGCATCTCGGTTTGGTAAATTGGTCTGGTAAGCGTACGCACGGTTTGGAAGCCTTCCGTAAATCGAGATAGGAAATCTCGTGGGTAAAGATGTATACCCGGCTGCTAGTGTCCGTTTGGTATACACCCACAAGAAGCAGAGGGTATCTTGTGGTTTGGGTCCTGCAAGACGCAGTGGGTGTCTTGTAGAAAAGCTTTTGGTTTTACTGGTATACAATCACAAGAAGCAGGGGGCATCTTGTGGTTTGGGTCCTGCAAGACGCAGTGGGTTCTGCTTTTGAGGGTTGCCCCATGAGACAATAGCAAGCCCTGCTTAATTCCGTCTTTCTCCTTAACACAGTAGACAGTAATGCACTGGCTTAAGTATTTTCTGCTTTAGACCAGTTGTGAAGTTGAGAACTCAGCCAGCACTTCAGAGAATCATGCAGTAGAAAGATTTAGTACCTTCAGCTGTGGAATCTCCTTGGGCTCTGGGGGTACTGAGCCTAGAGGCTCTTCATGGAGAATACTGCCTGCACATTCTGCACATGGATCCTGTTCCTATGCTCTGTGTGACATGTATCTTTTCTATATTGAAAGGGGTGGAGTGAAAGAAAGGAAGTGCGGAGGCTGGCCCAGCTAGAACACCAATTCGAACACCGTATTTCTGGACAAAATATGGAGACGAAACATCACACTGGAGAAAGAACATGTCAGGCATGGCTTTCTAGTGTTTTAAAGAAATATCCCATTGAGTACAAGTCAAGCTTTACTGAACTCTAATGTAAAAGCACGCACATAACCCTTTGTGAGCAAATTCAAGCCTCATGATCAATTTTGCAAGGGGCTTCCGTGCATGAGCCTGTGCTTTTAAAAAGCTGCAAAAGGCCTTGCAAATGCAGGCTGCCTGCAGCTCTGCTGGGAGGGAAGGAAGTCTTTCTTCCTCTGTTCAGGTAAAGTCTGGGCCTCAAAGGGACGTGTAGTGCTGTTCTCAGTAATTCCTGGTCTGTCAAGCATGTTACTGATGAAGCAAGCCATGGCTGTGCTGCTTACATAGGAGTATGTGATAAAAGCTGACCGTTGCTTTGCTTCACGCTTTCCTTACTAATTTGCTGTGTAGTCTGAAGATGCTTCTGGAGAAATCTCAAGAGAAAGCTGATGGCATAGGTGGGGAGTCCCTGCTCAGTTTCCAGGGGGAGATAAAGGACAGCTGTTCTCCAGTGGCCAACAAAGTTGGTGAACTAAGAAAGGTGAGCTCTGGATGGTTTGGTGGATTTGAGGGGATTATTTTTTCCTGCTCCTTTTGTAGCAGATGCTGATGATGTTGATGAACATGGGTATAGCTATCATGATGAGTAAAAACCAGGAGCCAGGAGTCCCAGCAGGGCTGCTAACATCAATGGCCTCACGGGCAGGGACAGAGTCCCAGGGGCCCCGAGCAAGCAGAGCAGAGCTGCTCCCCAGACATTTTAATACTCTGCCAGCAGGTGATGAACATATCCTCGATGCCCTGCCACCTTATGGGTTGCCACAGAAGTGAGTCCTTTTAGCACTCTCTTTGATTTCCTTTTGTTTTGCCACATGCGAGTTGCTGACATTTCCCAACAGCTGGAGATGCACTTGAAAAAATGCATGCAGCAGGCAAGATGAAACCAAGACCTGCAAGAATAGCTCCCCATTTTACATGCAGTCAGGATGAATGATCTGTCTGTAGCACACTGGCTGTAACTTTATTGTTGAGACCTTTGAATGCTTGGGCTTTGGTATCAGGATCTGCACATTAGTGCTGTACTTCTGTGATCCACTTCCCTATGACTCCTTTGGCCCAGCCTGCTGGAAAACTAATATGCAGCCTTTTCTTTTCCCACCCTTCCCCAGTCACTGCTGAACAGCCACCACAGTCAGCGATGAGCAGATGCCGGAGCAGAGGAACCACCAGTACCAGAATCATAGAATGGTTTCCTCTGGAAAGAACCTTAAGATCAAGTTCCAGTGCTTTACTGCCTTCACAATAAAGAACATCTTCCTCATATCTAACTTGAGCTTCCGCTGTTTTAGGTTAAACCCATTAGCCCTTGTCCTGTCACTACAGTCCCTGATGAAGAGTTGCTCCCCACCATCATTGTAAGCCCCCTTCAGATACTGGAAGGCTGCTCTGAGGTCACCATGCAGCTTCTCAGGCTGAAGAGCCCCAACTTTCTGAGCCTGTCTTCATATGGGAGGTTCTCCAGCCCCCTGATCGGCCTCCTCTCAACTTCCTCCAACAGCTCCATGTCCTCCTTCTGTTGAGGACACCAGAACTGCACAGTACTGCAAATGGGTTCTCACAAGAGCAGAACAGAGGAGCAGAAGATAGGGGTCACAGGTAGCTGAAGGAAGCCTGGAAACCTTTTGCCTTCCACCTTGTGCAGCCACTAGCATCTAGTTCCAGGTGTCGTGCTACAGCTTGGTATTTAAGAAACAGTGTCATCTAGTATGTGTCTTAATTTTGCTGCCCAACTGGAGCACTTAGGACCTAGCACCTTTGGAGAATTAGTCCTGCAGAGGGCCCCAAGAGGGAGCACACATCTGTATGCTTTTCCTCTTGCAAAACTTGAAGCTTGATTCTGCTCAGATCAGGGACTAGCACTGAGCAACTGCTAATAACCACTTAGCAGACTCTTCCTGCTTTTTTGCAGCCATCCTGCTGGTAGTATGGGCAGAAGGTGGTGGGTGAGCTTCTGGAAGCCGCAGAAGCTTTGCAGATCCCATGAGGATCTTGCAGATTTGCAGCCCACTGAGGGGAAAGGTGTGAAGAAGCAGGCACAGGCTGGAGCAGGGGGAATGATACTTCAACCTAAAGAAAAACCTTTGCTCTGGTGAGAGACTGGGGTAACTGGCACAGGCATGCTGGTCCCTCAGAGGTAGGGAGCCAAAGGGGGTCCCATGGCCAGTACAGCAGGGCAGCTTTGGCCTACCCAGCAGGAGGGCCAGGACAGTCCCAGGGTGAGCAGCCAAGGGCCCAGACTCACAAACAAGTGCCTGGTAAGACAGCAGCTCTGAGGGTAAGCCAGGAGGTCAGGCCAGGCTGTGCTGGGGTTCAGGCCCAGTGATGGTGTAGGCTTAAAGTTTAAACTAACAATAGTGTGTGTGTCTTTAACGTAGACTAGACCACACTGTTCTAACTTACTAACACGTAGAGAGAAAAGAATGTTCAGCTGCCAAGGGAAGGAACATCACGGGACTGATAACAACTAAGGAGACAGTAAGTGAGACCAAGGATGCTAGTGTTCAAGACAGCAGACTGGCACCCGGTGTAGAGCGAGACTGGAACAGAACAGAAGCAAGGACATACAAATTGCTAACTCATTACTAGGACCTTGCAAGCGTGCACAAGCAGAGGTCATTCAGTAAACACAGTGAGGAAGATTATCAGCGATCACCAGAGACCCCCACTCAACAAGAAAGCGTATGCATAATTAGAATGTAAATATTATAATTAGCTCCTGGAAAGGCTATGAATACGTATGAGTATGCTAAATATACAGCTGCTGCTGGCAAGTAACAGGTGCACTCTCCTTTGCAAAACGATGCACGTGCGCGCCCAGCACTGCAATAAAAAGTGCCTGCTTTCTAAAACTCCCAAGTTGAGTCTTAGAGAGTTTCTCTGACCGACTTTTATGGTAACAGTGGCAAGCAGGGTCAGATGCTGCTGGAAGGCAACGGCCAAGCAGGCCCACAGGCAGGCCAAGGGCAGGCAGAGCAGGCGGCCTGCAAGCCAGTTTCTGGAACAGCTAGGGCCATGGCCAGGCACAGGCACAGCCAAGACAAGAGCTGAGGACAGCACTCCGTCTCCAGGTGAAGGTGAACCTGAAGACAGGGACACTGCAGCTCAGGTGGGGCCTGAAGGCCTCCGCCTACACCCAGTGGGCCTCCTGAGCCCATGGGCTGGAGGACCAGCTCAGTCTGCTGGTGAGTTATATTTGTACCACAGAGAGGTTGTGGAGTCTCCCTGCTTGGATATGCTCCAGACTGGAGATGGCCCTGCATGACCTGCCCTGCCTGACTCTGCTCTGGGCAGGCCAGGCCAGGGCTAGACAAGATGAGGCCACTTCCAGCCTCCATGACGCTGTGTTTTTAACGCACAGATGTCTCCGCTGATCC